AGCCATCATTTAAACCTGCTTCATGACAGGCCTCAAGGATCTGTTTTGACAAACTGGGTCCACTTTGATTTCATTTTGACTTTAAAGCAGCCACTTGTATTTCTCTGAAGCATTTTTCAAGTTCAATGGGCACACACATGGTTCCATGAGATTTGTTGACGATGTGTGTACCATGTAATTGAAGCACACACAGGGGTGACAATAACAAGGAAAGAGGTTTAATAGTGGGTATGTATGCGCACTCAACTTTCAATAAAGGTCTGTTGTAAGCAGTTTCCTAGCAACACGAACTCTGAGAGCAACTGTCCTTTGTTTACACCAACTAAAGGTCTTCCCTTCTCCGACACACCCTGCCATCTACTGCAGAAGACCTGATCTTATTGAAACGTACATGAAACTAACGGTTATGCGATCTGAGCAGGGCACCGGATAAAACGCACACTCACAGATTCACGCAGGTCAGACATTCGAGCCTGCATGACTCCAAGAAATCAATGACTCCTTCAACGCTCCAAAAAGCACAACAAACACATAAACAAACTCAAACTAAGTTGTTTTTCCATTTTTCTTCTTCTGTCAGAGATGGATATTTGTACAAGAGGAAAGAGGAAGGCAAGACACCTGCAGTTTATAAATGCAACTTGCTTGTGATCTCCTTCACCCTGTGCGCTTTCAGATCAGACGCTCCCACAGCCTGAACATCTTTACACGTTTTTACAATTCTGCGCACCTGAGTTCACCTGCACGGATTCTGCGCACAGCTAGAGCCAAATGTCTCAGAAGACCCGGAGATGAATTCAGTTTCCAAATGTGTTCGGTAAGGTTGTGAAGGTTTTGTGGAACCGTGGTAACCTTCAAAAAAACACCATTATTTAGGGAAGTTGATTTTTGCACGGATTCGTTCGAAATTAGCATTGTCCACCAAGGACGACACACCTCATTTCGAGTACATACTGTAGTGAAAGACAAATGCAAATGCACCTGCTGTTGTGTCATGAATGCTAATTACAGTATCGGACATCAGCACAGAACCTCACACGGACTGAGGAATGTCAATTTCACAAATTACAGTGGATTGGTGTGGCGCTTGTCAACGTTGTTTAAGTCAAAATGAGCTTAGCTGCTTGATAAATGTCAAATGACAATTGCAGTAGTGTAGGTGTATGAGTAGCACTTTACAATAACCCAGCTAACAGGGAATGTTCTCAGAAATTTGGTTGACGTTCATTAAATGGTCATTCATCTAAAAAAAAAAAAAAAAAAAAAAATCATACATTACACGCGTAGTTTGTGTAACACTCTTACAGTTGAGAGAACATTCAAACGTAACATTTCCATAACAATTCCAGAATGATAAAATTAAATGTTTTCTTAAAGGAGAACTCCGGCACAAAATGGTCTAAACCTTTGGTCTAATTACACATTGTTACCTAGTCAACCGTTATCTGAGATTTGTTTTCATGATTGCCGAATGTAAATAGTTTTATCTCTAAAAACAGTTTAGCCTATAATGCTAGTATATTGGGCATAGAGTAATGACAAATAAAAATCGCTTGTTATTATCACTAACAAGGCTCAAAATAGCCCCACAGTAATACGGTAGCATAATAAGGGTCCCTACATTCAAACCGAAGCATTGAGAACTTTGTCAGTCTCCATACAGTTTAATAAGAAGATATTTTATACATACGGTCAACTTCGCAAAAACAGGAAGAAGCCATCTTTGAAAAATAGTCTCTACCAGTCGATCTACGAACGGCGATCCAAGTGCGCTGGTGAGATGTGAATAAGTGATAAGGTGAGCGCGAACAGTAGTCTACATGTACATATTGAAGAGAAGAAAATGGTTTGTGTTTGGTTTCTTCCGGAAACAACGGACCATATGAGATTCTGCACAGTTCAGCGCACTTGGATCGGCGTTCGTAGATCGACTGGTAGAGACTATTTTTCAAAGATGGCTTCTTCCTGTATTCTCGAAGTTGACTGTGGGTATAAAATATCTTCTTATTAAACTGTATGGACACTGACAAAGTTCTCAATGCTTCGGTTTGAATGTAAGGACTCTAATTATGCTACCCTGTTACTGTGGGGCTATTTTGAGCCTAGTTAGTGGCAATAACAAGCGATTTTTATTTGTCATTACTCTATGCCCTATATACTAGCATTATACTAGCGTTATAGGCTAAACTGTTTTTATAGATAAAACTATTTACATTCGGCAATCATGAAAACAAATCTCAGATAACGGTTGACTAGGTAACAATGTGTAATTAGACCAAAGGTTCATTTTGTGCCGGAGTTCTCCTTTAACGTTCATATAACCAAGAGGAAATTAGTTTTATTACATATACATTACAAGGGCACAGAAGATTTAGCGTTTGGTGAGCTAATACCAATTTTAAACAGAAATCAATATTTTGTGTCAAATTTTTAAATAGTGTCATCCGAGTATTGCGGACTCGCTGTCTTGTTTCATACGCAGCTGCTGCCATTTTACGACGTTTTATTCGTACACCGTAATGGATTGTAAGATAACAAACAGGTAATATTTTAAACCAGTTTCATTTCAAATCAATTTCTCTCATCCCCATAATTATGTATGTGGCAAAACCGTGTAATAAGTGGTACGTCTAGTTTGAACTTGTCGCAAGTCAATATTTTGTGTCTAACTATTTGCTTATGTGGCAAGTAGCCATGTAATAAGCAGGATTTAAACTCATTTAGGTTGATGCAAGACCGCCCTGATCACCCTCTTGGGGTTTATTCTGCGATAACATCAACACATTCTCATCATATAGTGACGCTTTTGACATTTCGTCTAAATCCAACGCACATGGCACCCTTTAGCGTCAATAAAACACGTACAGGACTTTGTTTGGATATGGGTTGGTTTAGGTCTGGGGTAGGGTTAGGGTTACACCACTAGGAGGCGCCTTCTGGTCCATATATGTTGTTCGTGTTGGATGTAGACGAAATGTCGAAAGCGCACAGTGGATAAGACACATGCCTTTGGTGTGAGAGACCCGGGTTCGAATCCACTGCGTGACACCAATGCGTCCCTGAGCAAGACACTTAACCCCTAGTTGCTCTAGAGGCGTGCAACCTCTGACATATATAGAAATTATAAGTCGCTTTGGATAAGAGCGTCAGCTAAATGAATAAATGTAAAAGTAAATGTATGACGCCTTGGGATGAGACCGGGTTGATAACATTGGATGTTGATTATCCCTTACTGTAGATCACGCTAAATAAACCAATGTTATTTACGGAGCCTTGTTGCATAGTGTTAACAATTAAAGGGTTAGTTCACCCAAAAATGAAAATTAAGTCATTAATTACTCACCCCCATGCTTTACCAACCCCGTAAGACCTTCGTTCATCTTCGGAACACAAATAAAGATATTTTTGATTGAATCTGAGAGCTAGATCAGTCCTACATAGACTGCCTAAGGAACTGGCTCTTGACGGCCCATAAAGTCAATAAAGAAAAGGTTTAAATATTCCATGTGCCTACAGCGGCTCAATTATAAGTTTATCAAGCGACGAGACTACTTTTTGTGCGAAAAAAACATAAATAACGACTTTATTCCACTATTCCATTACTTCCTTATGGGCGCATGCGCGAGAACTGAGACGAGGACGTTCTCATTTGTCTACTTCTTGTTACCGGCTGCTCACCGCTTAGGAGTTTTACCGCCCCCTACCGTATAAGATGATGTGCTGATATAGCTGGAAGCGCAAAACTTTCTGTTTACAAGCAGAGGAAGATGCGCGCTGTACATACGCTTTTCAAATTGCCTATTTTCCGCACTATAAGGTGCACTTAAAAGCCTTTAATCTTCTCAAAAAACGACAGTGTTCCTTATAATCCGGAGCGCCTTATATATGGATCATCATTTTATACGGTAGGTGGCGGTAAAACTCCTAAGCGGTGAGCAGCCGAGTAGATGAATGAGAACGTCTTCGTCTCAGTTCTCGCACATGCGCCCATAAGGAAGTAATGGAATAGTGGAATAAAGTCGTTATTTATGTTTTTTTTCGCACAAAAAGTAGTCTCGTCGCTTGATAAACTTATAATTGAGCTGCTGTAGGCACATGGAATATTTAAACCTTTTCTTTAATGACTTTATGGGCCGTCAAGAGCCAGTCCCTTAGGCATTCTATATAGGACTGATCGAGCTCTCAGATTCAATCAAAAATATCTTTATTTGTGTTCCGAAGATGAACGAAGGTCTTACGGGGTTGGAACAGCATGGGGGTGAGTAATTAATGACTTAATTTTCATTTTTGGATGAACTAACCCTTTAATTTGTGACATCAATTCAAAGAAGAGTGGTATAAAAACTGTCATAGAATTTACCTGAAATAAAATATGCACAGGAAACTAGATAGAATGTATTACTTCAGACTGGGAAATATTAACTAGCTGCCCTGGATTCCCTAATTGCATCTTGCAGAGTCTTTGGACTGTATACAGCATGAGATCATCTTGGCATAATGGCCATCATTCATTCAAGTTCAACTAGCTGGATTATACATGGTTTCACAATCATTTCAATATGCTCAATGCTGTTGCTGTGGTGCTTGTGCAATAAAATTCAATACCTGATGTTTATGATACAATGATACTTGTTTTTTTTTTACCAGATTTTTTTCCTGCTTTTCAGTTTTTGTTGAAGGTGATTAAATCAACAGTTTCTCGGCAGCTGTTGAAGAAATTAATATTTACAAACAAACTCTCTGCGGCTGTTTCTCGGAATTGGAAATGAGCTGTTTTCAATTAGCGCTCCATTAAAATGGAGCTAAAATGACCAAAAGTGATGCTTGGCGTAGAAACAATGCATTTACAAAAGATCCCGTTTCTTTAGATTATCGTTAGCATTGCTTGACTAGCATGCACTATAAACCTTGAAAAGTTGAAACTTTATGAAGATAAAAAAGTAGTGATTTCAGAGGCAGACTCAAGACATTTCAGTTTGTTAAAGAGGAAGACACCCTACCTGGATCTCATCAGGTGTCAGGCCTCCTTTCATGTCGCTGCTCTTTTTCTTGGGTGGCGGAGGGGCCGGCTTATGAGCAGGGGGGAGGTCGGTCCTGTTGAAAGAAAAAGAAAACAGACTGACACCCGGTATCATGAGAGAGCTTTCATGGGGTAGTGACTTAAGCCTTGTGTGAGCACACGTAATGAGGAGTCGTGCCCACGTCTACCTCTCCCGCCTGCCGGGGGTTTGATGGGCATCTCTTTACAATGGCTTTGTTGTAGCCAGTACCATTTCAGCCGTGCCCTTTCAATGGCTTCCACTAGCCATGGAGAGAGAGAGAGAGAGAGGTAATGAAACCAGATCATAATGGGCAACATGGAGAGGAAAATGAGAGTGTGGGTTTGAATTTTAGCAAACCATTGTTCCCATCAATCCCTTAAAGTGTCAGACAGACAGCAAAGAGCACATGGGTCTGATCCATGATGTGAGGCACAGTATGGAAGGGTTGAACCAGACATTCGTTACTTAAATTCAGGGCACTAAAAACCTATGAGCTGGGCATGGCAACACTAAAAGGATCATACATGGCCTCATCAATTTGAGCACAATTTGCAGTTCACACTAGGTCAAAAATAACTAGCACTGGATTAAATTAGCTTGTAAATAGTGCTGCACTTAATTTGGTTGTTCCAAAAGCTAACCAGTAGGTCGTTAGTTTGCCGCAACCCTGTAAAATCATGCACACTTACTTTGGAATGAAGACCAGTCGTATTAGCAGTCTAATAACAGCTATTTGATTTTATATGGAGCGGGTCGCCTCTTGAAAGCCGCCATCTTGAACACTTGACCAGTCCAATACAACTCAATGTCAGTAATTCTGCTGTTACTAAACAATTTTGCTTATGGAATAAATGGATGATGCTGAACGGCACATTTATACAATGGCGTGATAGAAAACTTCATCAAGGCTAGATTAGTGTAATGCGCTTCTGAGTGGTTGCCCTGCACGCTTAAAGGGATACTCCACTTTTTTTGGAAATAGGCTCATTTTACCACTCCCCCACAGTTAAACAGTTTGGTTTTACCGTTTTCGAATGTATTCAGACGTTTTTTTTTATTTATTTATTATTATTTAGAAGAATATCAGTAACCAGACATTTTCTGGTCTCAATGACTTCCATAGTATATTTTTTTTCCTACTATGGAAGTCAATGAGACCAGACACTGTTTGGTTACTGATATTCTTCTAAATATAAAAGAAATTGGCTGAATACAATCGAAAACGGTAAAACCCAACTGTTTAACTGTGGGGGAGTGGTGAAATGAGCCTATTTCCAAAAAAAGTGGAGTATCCCTTTAATAAACAAACTTCAGCTAGTTCAAAACGCAGCAGCTCGACTTCTTACCAGAACCAGGAAGTATGACCATATTAGCCCGGTTATGTCAACCCTGCATTGGCTGCCAATTAAACATCGTGTAAATCACTTGACCAGTCGAATACAACTCAATGTCAGTAATTCTGCTGTTTCAGAACAATTTCAGTAGCACCTCAATGCAGTGAGATCCACGGGAAGGAGTCGGATCAAGATCCAAGGGGTAGAGATGGGTAGGATTAGGGTTGGGTTTAGGGATTAGGGGTGGGTTTAGGGATCATTTGGATCTGGATCTGTGATTTTCCTCAAATTTACTGACTTATATCCCGGATATGATGTCAATAAAGCGTTCTGATGATTGGAAATTTATTTTCGTTATTGGTCTAGCTGTATGATATATTATGACATAAACAGAATGCTGTTATACACATCATTCATCTCCATCTAATCAATCTTTTTGAATTTGCTCTTCTAGTGATTTTCCAACGCATTCTCATCCTTTAACGTCATATAGAACGCTATATGACAAAACGGCGCTATACTACGCACATGGCACCCGTTATCGTAAATATAACACGTGCTGTGAGGGCTAAGTTTAGGTGTGGGGTAGGGTGTGCGTGTCATATTCACGCTAAAGGATTTATAACGTCTTGGGTTCGCGTGTTATATTAACGATAAAGGGTGCCATGTGCGTAGTATAGCGCCGTTTTTGCATATAGCGTTCTATATGACGTTAAAGGATGAGAACGGGCTGGATTTTCAGCTTTCTTTTTCTGCAAATTGTGTAATTGTGTATAGCAATATGACCCAGTGCCCAAAATACAATCAAAACACTCCAACACAGCCTCTATTCTTCACGAAAGATGGATAAAAAGGTGCACATGAATGAAAAAAATGATATAGCCTATGCGATCCGGCCAAATCACAGAGATGCCGATTCGCATGGGACTAATATTTTCACAGGACCTCGGTGTTCGGCGAAATATAGTAGGTCATTTGTTGGGGAATTTTTACTTTTTTACAAATTTTACTTACTTACAAATTACAGACATGGCCAATTCGCACGGGATTAAGATCACAGACAAACTGTGCAATTATTACAAATGACTAGAGGTCACCAGGTACTTATCCTGTGCAAATAGGGCTTAAGTCATATTTGGATGGTCCCTTCAAATAAAATTATGGCCCTGTCTACGACTTCTCCTTAGAGTAGACTGTTTGCTCAATATCTGATAACTCTTATTGTGATAATTCTCCAACAGATATTTTACTGGCTATACTTAAGACAAATCTCCTAATACTGTACCAACACTCTAATGAGAGCTAGTAGACAGGTAGGTGCAACGATACTTATAGTACACAGAATGTTTTGAAGGGACCATCAAAAAAAAAAAAAAAAGTGAAACTGTGCACGGTTCTTAATCCATTATATTAGTGAACGATTTTGTGCTGAAGTACAGAGCCCCCCTAGTCCCACTTTGGCAAAAACAAAATTAATTATAACTATCTTGTGGCCTCAAGATAGTAACTCGTGGACTCAAGATACTAACTCGTGGCCTCAAGATAGTAACTCGTGGCCTCAAGATAGTAACTCGTGGCCTCAAGATACTAACTCGTGGACTCAAGATACTAACTCGTGGCCTCAAGATAGTAACTCGTGGCCTCAAGATAGTAACTCGTGGCCTCAAGATACTAACTCGTGGCCTCAAGATAGTAACTCGTGGCCTCAAGATAGTAACTCGTGGCCTCATGATACTAACTCGTTGCCTCAAGATAGTAACTCGTGGCCTCAAGATACTAACTCGTGGCCTCAAGATAGTAACTCGTGGCCTCAAGATAGTAACTCGTGGCCTCAAGATACTAACTTGTGGCCTCGAGATAGTATCTTGAAGCCACAAGATAGTTATAATTATAATTTTTTTGCCAAAGTGGGACTAGGGGGGATCCTGAAGTTCACCTTACACACATAAAGCTGAAAATGTAAACAAAGGTATATCAAAGTCATCAATAGATGTCAAAAGCCTTTCATGGAAAGGCATCTGTCAATATTCACTCTGTGTGTGGGGTCTTAGATACATATGTGCAATGCACAAATATTTAGTAGCACATTTAGCCAACATTGTAACTTCCTCATTGCAATGGTTGCACTGCAGAGAGATCCACTCACCCGCTGTCTGGCACTACTCAATGACACTTCAACACACACACAGGCCTCGGCACACACCTGATGTGCTTCTGGAGAGTTCATGCAAACACCCGATATTCAATTTCACTTCAAATAAGTCACAAGTTACTGAGTTTAGCAAAAAGTGAAGAAAAGCATCTGGTGAGTCATAAACTGTCCAATTTTCTGCACTGTAATTTCATTCATAAAGCCCGAAAATTCAAATAAAAGCCAGATCCCCGAAGAGAACTCAGACAAAACTCAAAAGCAGATGTCAAACTGTCACGCGCACACACACAAGCTTGCACATGTAAGCACACACGCACCCACGCAAAAAAGTTTACACGAATGTGGATGCTTATGCGATTGCACATCTGCGCGCACGCACACATACACTGCTCTAATACGTTATTTGGGTGCCGTTATTTGCATCGCTTGAAGGAGACCCAAATAATTCTCTCTGACAGGTGAGCTGTGCAGGAGTTGCCATCTAATTTCCAGAAAGAGGAAATCTCTTTCCTCTAGCATGTTAGCAGTCAGACATCATCCCGCTCATTCTGACAGGATGTCTGTGCTGATAGATAATGAAGCATGGTGTGTGTGTGTGTGTGTGTGCGTCAAAGAATAGATCAAGGGAAACATGGGCAACATAACTATTCAAACTGTACACAAATGCACTAGAACATGCACATTTCCACAGGCAAACACACCACCACATTTCGCTCGCGAGTTGCATGACCTTTCCACGAGGCCAAACGGGCTCTGTAAAGTCAAAGCAGCCTTGCGCATGAATGCCTCTCTCCATTTCCTCTTTTATACACATCACTTCCACTTCACATCACCTTGTATCACACTAGAAAGAGGCATGGCACTGGCACACGGCGACCTGTACACACTGCAGATAAAAAGACACACATAGGGCAATCTCTGGAACTTTTCCAAGACACAATTCACAAAAAACCGTTTGAGCCATCACGCTTTTTGTTACAGAATATAACATTAATATGCAAATTCCTCAATATTGTGTAAAACATATTAAAATGTCATTACTGTAGTAAAATGCAAACCAAGGATTTATGTATGCATGTATAATTTCATGTATAATATACATTACAGTTATGTGAATGGGTGAGGATGGGGTAAAAATTTTACCTTCATGAGCCTAAAAACATGCCTTCATTTCCTTTAAACTGAACTTATTTTGAAAAAGACTTGACACGTTCTTGACAGGTTTCTTGGCATTCACACGGACAGAATCACACACGGCCTAACGGTTAATATTTGGGCTGCCAATACAAGGGTTATAGGTTTCACTACAAAACGGATGTGATTCAGTAACTAAAGAGATCCTGTGCCTACTGTGGCCTTAAGCAAAGTATTCAATCCAGAGTCACTTTTAAATGACTGTGCCACAAATGAGTGAGCAGTAATTTTCTTAAAAAGGGATTATATAATATGGATATATGAAGAGTTCAGATGCAAAAGCCTCTAAGTGCCATTTGAAATTTTCTTCTTTAATGATGATTTTTATCAAGCTTGTATATTTAAGTTCAGTGATTTCACTTAAATGGCAAT